AGGGTGTTGTAAGCTGAACTACACATCACTGAGCAATGCCATAATGATCCTTTAACTCGACAGCGTAGGTTTACACATTACATTTTATAATGAAGTTACAAAGCAATAATATTTCCTTGTGAAATATTATCAGCTGCAATGTCTGAGAAATAAAACTACTCTTACTGGCAGCTAAAAGACACATGCCAGATGGAGCCATCCTTTGTAGAATGTTGGATGCAGTGGGATGTAGCATTAACATAGCCATGTGGCTAACTCCACTGAACTCCATAGCATTAGCAACACATTGAAGTGTGATACTGCTGGCTGCCACTGACCACCAGCTGCTCATGTCACAGAGATGTGTTGCACTAGCAGCACCCACATCATGGATAATTGGTCATTAGGTGAGATATTGATTTATAGATGTTGGTGTGTGTGTGTGTGTTATCACCTCAAGAATCACCTTGTGTTTTTTGTTCCGAGCATTGACAACAACCTGTGTCTGTTCGATGAGTGACCCTTTTGAACTTTGTACGTGTCCAACTCTCCACGTGTGTGTGTACATGTTGAACTGTGTGGACGTTCAAAGTGCATCTCCTTCTATTTCTGTACACACCACTGTGTCTCTGTATGTCATGCGTTACATTTGCCATCCTGTGTGGCTCTGTTTGCTGTGTTGTTTGCCCGTCCACTCTGACCTCATGCTGCCATTTGCTTTTTGCGATTATTAATTCAACGTTAGCTGTCACAACCGATTACAGTCTCTCACGCCCCGCGACCTCTGACCCCTTCTTCTCTCCGCCTGTTACATGCCAAACACAGAGTTGAGATCAAGTGACCCAGATTGTTTCTTTATCTTCCCTCCTTCTGTAAGTGATCACATACTCAGGAGCTGCCCTCCATACAGCACCATGCCTGTGTGCCCCTGAGTATGTTGATATGAATTTGGCAGATATGGGCTGGCTATATAATGATACAGGAGACAGAAAGCACCATACAAATGGAGGCTGCAGAGGAATTGTTAGAAGCATCTATTTGAAAAGATGTACATTAATGGCTCTATTCCAGGCCCCCGGGGGCCCTCTCCCACTTCTATAGGCTGCACTATTGCATCACCTCTTAATCTGGATTTGGCTTCGCTATCTTTTTCTGTTTTTAGACTACAGTCGTTCGTGTTTCACTTACGTATAGGTGTAAGCAAGCGTGTGAGTTAATTTTTAATGCGTACATGTAACACTGGCATTTTCATTCCTGTTTACGACACGTTTTATTTCTCTGTCTTATGTTCAGTGTTGCTCGTGCATGTGTTTATATGAGACATGTCTTGTCGGACTTGACAGTACTTGGGCACATCTATACTACAACAAAGACCAGCAACCGTACAGCATTATGCACACAACTGCTCGCCTTTCTTCCTCTCCGTATCAACAACCTTGTGTGTCAGCCCTATTATATAGAACACATACATCATACAGCGGGAGGCACCCGCCGATGAGATTCGAGAGCACCCTGACAGAGGAATGGAGGGGAGATTAGTGTGTGTGTGTGTGTGTGAAGGGGAGTGAGAGAAAAGAAATGTGTGCATAAGGAGACAAGGAGTAAAAGCCCATTATGGAAGTCTGTTCTTGTGGGTATGTGTGCATATGCTTTTTATATAGACACACATATATGTATAGAGTGTGTGTCCGTTGTTCGACATGTTTGCAGTCGTCTGCGAGGATCTCAGCCAACCCCATTCAGTGTAGGATCAGGGTACACAGCTGCTTGTGAGAATCGTGATTGGTTTGTGTACATTGACAGGAAGGATGATGTGGAGTGCATGTCAGCAGCTTTACCCTACTTTGGTGTTGCATGTGCAGTTTTCACACCAGATTATACGGTCCCTTAGTTGTGCCTTGATTCCTCATTTAGTGGTGTGTGTCTAATCTTTGTGCTGCTGATTTTGTGTGTGTGTGTTTTGTCCTTACTGCTGGCAAAAGGATTATACAGGTGCTCAGTTATGTTCATGCTCCTGTCCACACTGTGTTGTTGCTTTTGTGTGTGTGTGTGTG